AAAAAAAAAAAAAAAGAATTTAGGTATACTTTGTCTTACAAAGGGGTCTTTCATTACCCTTTATCAGAATGGTAAAAAGAAAAATAGTAACAACACAAAATGCTAATGAAGATGCATAGAATCAGAATCATTCATGCATTCTTGGTGGGAATGTAAAATAGTACAGCTACTTTGAAGGTCCTTTGTTTCTTACAAAACTAAACATGAAATTATTACATGACCTAGTAACATCACTCTCTTTTTTCTTTTTGAGACAGAGTCTCAAGCTGTCGTACTGGGGAGAGTACCGTGGTGTCATAGCTGACAGCAACCTCCAACTTGGGCTCAAGCAATCTTCTTGCCTCAGTTTTTCTATTTTCTTTTCTTTCTTTTTTTTTTTGGAGACAGAATCTCACTACGTCACCCTTGGCAGAGTGCTGTAATGTCACAGCTCACAGCAACCTCAAAACTCTTGGGCTTAAGCAATTCTCTTGCCTCAACCTCCCAAGTAGCTGCAACTACAGGCACCTGTAACAACGCCTGGCTAATTTTTTTGTTGCAGTTGTCATTGTTGATTAGCAGGCCTGTGCTAGGCTCGAACCCACCAGCCTTGGTGTATGGGGCTAGCACCCTAGTTACTGAGCTATGGGTGCCGAGCCAGTTTTTCTATTTTCCATCTTTAGACAGGGTCTTGCTTTTGCTCAGGCTGGTCTTGTGAGCTCAAGCAATCCACTAGTCTCAGTCTCCCAGAGAGCTAGAGAGCTAGGATTACAGACATGAGCCACCTCATCTGGATTTTCTTTCTTTTTTTTTTAGAGACAGAGTCTCACTGTGTCACCCTTGCTAGAATGCCATTGCGTCATACCACACAGTAACCTCTAACTCTTCAGCTCAAGTGATGCTTTTGCCTCAGACTCCCAAATAAATGGGACTACAGGCACCCACCACAATGCTCAGCTATTTTCTAGAGAGGGGGGTCTTGATCTTGCTCAGGTTGGTCTTAAAGTCCAGAGCTCAGGCAATCCACTGGCCTCTGCCTCCCAAAGGCTAGTATTATAGGTGTGAGCTACCTTGCCCTGCCTAAGTAACTTCACTCTTGAACATTTACCCCACAGGAATAAAAATTTAATTTAAGCTCGGTGCCTGTGGCTTAAGCGGCTAAGGCACCAGTTTGGCGGGTTCGAATTCAGCCTGGGCCCGCCAAACAACGATGGCTGCAACCAAAAAATAGCCAGGCGGCTCGGCGCCTATAGCTCAACTGGCTAAGGCGCCAGCCACATACACCTTAGGTGGCGGGTTCGAATCCCCAGCCCGGACCCGCCAAACAACAATGACGGCTGCAACCAAAAAATAGCCGGGCGTTGTGGCGGGCGCCTGTGGTCCCAGCTACTTGAGAGGCGGAGGCAGGAGACTCGCTTGAGCCCAGGAGTGGGAGGTTGCTGTGAGCTGAGATGCCATGGCACTCTACCCAGGGGGATAGCTTGAGGTTCTGTCTCAAAAAAAAAAAAAAAAAGAAAGTAAAAAACTACAGGTACATGCATTAATGAAAGAACCTCCAAAAACTTAGGCTGAGTGAAAAAAGCCAATCCCAAAAGGTATAGAGTGTAAATTCATTTACGTAATATTATAGTAACAAAAATTACAGCAATGGAGCACAGGCCTACCAAGGTGGCTCACACCTGTAATCCTACCACTTGGAAAAGTAGAGGCAGGATTTTGAGCTGAGCCTGAGCAAGAATGAGAACCTATCTCCACAAAAAATAAAAATGAAAAATCTGGGCATGGTGATGCACACTACGATGCCAGCTAATGTTCTATTTTTCTACTTTTAGTAGAAACAGGGTCTCATTGTTCTTCATACTTGTTTTAAACACCAGAGCTCCAGAAATCCTCCAGCTTTAGCATCCCAGAATGCTAGAAATACAGGTGTGAGACCACATGCGGTGACTCATGCCTGTAATCCTAGCACTCTAGGAGGTCAAGGCTGGTGAATCATCTAAGCTCAGGAGTTTGAGACCAACCTGAGCAAGAGGGAGACCATGTCCCTAAAAAATGCTGGGCAGTGCGGTAGGCACCTGTAATCACAGCTACTTGGGAGGCTGAGGCAAGAAGATCACTTGAGCCCAAGAGTTTGAGGTTGCTGTGAGCTATGATGCCACAGTACTCTATCAAGTATGACAAAGCTTTTTCTTTCTCTCAAGAAAAAAAAAAGAAAGAAACAAAGAATTACAGGTATGAGCCCACCGAGACTGGCAATGATTAAAAAAACAACAACAGCAAAAAACAGGACCTAATAAATGAGAGTTCAGCAAAGTAACAGAATACAAACTCAATATACAAAAATCAGTTTTATTGGCTCAGCGCCTGTGCCTCAAGTGGCTAAGTCCTAGCTGTAGTCCCAGCTACTTGGGAGGCTGAGGCAAGAGAATGGGCTAAGCTCAAAAGTTTGAGGTTGCTGAGAACTGTGACACCACAGTACTCTACTGAAGGTGACAAAGTGAGACTCTGTCTCTAAAAAAAAAAGAAAAAGAAAGTTTTCATAATCAAGAACACTCAATTTCACTGAAAAATAATTTCTTTTTTCTTTTAAACACAGAGTCTCACTATGTCACCCTTGGTAAAGTGCCATGGCATCAGAGCTTACAGCAACCTGAAACTCTTGGGCTTAGGTGATTCTTTTGCCTTAGCCTCCCAAGTAGCTGGGACTACAGGTGCCAGCCACAAT